GAGGGAAGGAGGGAAACCAACCTTGATCGGCTGCCTTCCACACATGCCCCGACCAAAGATCAAACCCACAACACTGGTGTGTGCCCTGACCTGGAATCGAACTGGTAACCTTTTGGTGCACAGGATGATGGTCAACCAAGTGAGCCATTCCAGCTGGGCCCCAGACTTTTATTTCTGAACTGTTGGATAAACCTTGATGAACTTGACTCTGAGGTCATGAGTTCAATGAGAGATATAATTAAAGACACTGGAACATCAAAGTAAAAATAGGTATAATCCAGGGCTTTAACTCAGTGACACACTAGTTCCAACTTATATGTGAAGTTTTACAATATTTTGTATATGATACAGAACGCAGGGCAACCTCCCTATGCCTACCAATGACTTCGGTAGTCATAATCATAGCAATATCAGGATTGCAGAATGCAGTTTTCAACTGAAATAAAGATTTACACATTATAACAGTGAGTAACAACTGCTACAAATAAAAGAGTATGAAAGGGAGTAGGCTGGTATGACTAGATGTATTCTATCATCCAAGGTTTCTCAAAGCAGTGCATTTCCAAGGTGATTGTTTCATCAAGTCAAAGGAAAGATTTTATCCCCACTGCCTCCTTCCAAATGCAAAAATCTGTTTCTAGTTCCTAATGTATTCTGATATGTTCCAATTACTCAGTGGCAACTAATCTGTAACTTTGTGTCACAGAAATTCTGGAATTCAATCACTTAACTTTTACTAGTATGTAGCTCTGAACCTTTCTCTGTAAGTAGTATCTAAACGCTTGTGAAAGAAAACAGATGATAATTAGTCCCTGGGGAGCACATTGTAGGCACTCAATACATATGCTATCAAAACAATAAATATATATGAAAAATCTAGTACATATAAACTGGTGCTCAATAAGTATACACTGACTATACAGTAACAAGTGGGATAAAATAATAAAAGTAAAAATTACTCTTAAAGTATTTTTAATTCACAAAGTTTCAAGAATTAAAAACATACCCATAGTGATGTATTTTTCCTTGTATAAGGAACGGTGCTGAAAGGTCAAGAAGTTCCAGGTCTTCATGGCCAGATCTCACAGGAATCACACTATGAAACTTGTTTGCAAGTTTGTAGATTTCACTTAGTGTACCTCCTATTAAGAGAGAATAAAAAAACCCTTTCAAGTAGTACAAACACAACATAGGCAAAATGAAGTACCTGTTAAGTAACACAAGAGGTATAGTAAAAGGCTAAAGGGATTGAAAGAAAAAGACAATGAAAGCCATGAAGTTAGAGATTTAATAGATTTATAAATTCATTCTGAAAACTAATGATTTTTAAACTTAGATTCCTATACAGATTAAAGAAACCACTGCACAAAAATGCTGTGACTTGAGCAAAACATAAGGCTTGTGAAAATTTAACCATCTTTTTAAATGTATACAAATTGCTCTTCACACCAGGAACACTTTGGTTCAAAGAATCAGAACAAAGTTAAGAGCCAGAGTACACAGGACTCTCATTATTAAACTTGCTATATACTACTAATATCTAGGCAAGTTTAGTCCTAAATTTGAAATAAATCTTTTAAACTTTCAGGTCAACATTAAATTTAAGTATAGATGCAAATAGTTCATGTAATGTGAATTGGTGTATAGTGTTTGTTCGTTTTTCCCGGGAAACCCACCACAATTACCCCAATCCTATGATAGGGTGAACATGAAAATCATCATGCTGCTGCCCAGCTGGTGTGGCTCAGCGGTTGAGCATCAACCTATGATCCGGGAGATCAAGGTTCGATTCCCGGTCAGGACATATGCCCCGGTTGCCAGTTCAATCCCCGGTGGGGGGCATGCAGGAGGGAACCGATCAATGACTCTCATCATTGATGTTTCCATCTCTCTCTCTCCCTCTCCCTTCCTCTCTCTGAAATCAATAAAGATATATATATCTCTAAATATATATATATATATATCTAAATATATATATATCTAAAGATACATATATAAAGATATATATATATAAAGTGTTTTAAAACAACAACAAACAAACAAAAAACCCCATCATGCTGGCTGAGAAACAGTATGCCCAACGGTGCTCCATTATTCCAAGGCAGCATTTTCTGAGATAACTCAAACCTCCTGGTACCTTTTCTGGTGTACTTTTTACTTATATTGATTACTGTCCCTCTCCAGGGAAAAAGAATATGATTTATAAAAATACTTTGATTTACTTCCTAAAAGTTGTATAAAATTTGTAACATTAAAATTCAATTATGAGGGGACGTACTCTGGTATAGCAAACTAAGGATGTCCAAAAATACACTTTTCATAAAAGCAAAATGAACATTGGCAAACATTTATTCAATAAATATTTACTGAGAGCCAGTTATATGCCAGGTATACTATGCCAGGTGCTGAAGATACACAGATGAAAATAAACCTATATCCTGTCCTTAGGGAGCTCACATTCTAATAAGAAAACAATCCTATAAGCAGACAGATAAAACACAGATGTAATACAAGAAGAAAAGTGCTGTATTGGAAATACACACAATACGTAGTAAGAACCACTGAAATCTGGTCAATCAGAAAAAGGCCTTCATATTATAGGTGCTCATTAAACACTCCACATGAATTGCTAAACAAAGGGAATTACTGAGCTTACTTCTGAATATGCACCAGAGCAGAAATTGTCAGGAGAATAGCAATGGATTGGCAAAAAGGCACAGAGAAATACACAGGGTTTAGGAGTTGCCCAGTTCGATATGGTGGGATGGGAACTGCAGGAGATGAGACTGAAGGTCCGTGGGGTGAGTCGTAAAGACAGGGTCAGGAGCTAAAGGGACTTTGTAACTCAAGCTTCCTTTGGACCCTCAAGGCCAACTTAGCTTCAGCACAGAATTCTGTGGGAGGCATGTGTATTCTAAATATACCTATTTTCTAAAAGGATTACATATTGCTTTTGATAAATACAAAAATGTCAGTAATAAAAATGATCATAAGCCAGTATAAGAAAAATAATTCATTTATAAAATGCAACTAAAGATTTCTATAATGAAAATTAAAGATGATGGCTTCCTTTTATTATGGAATATTCTTAAGAAAACGTCTCAAGGAAAATAATAAAACATTAAATTTAGGATGGGAAAAAATCTGTGGTAAATAGATAAAATAAGACCAAAGTAGAAAAGCAATGCAAAAACAAATATGACTCACCCAGCCAGCATGGCTCAGTGGTTGAGCACTGACCTATGATCCAGGAGATTGAAGTTTGATTCCCTGTCAGGGCACATGCCTGGGTTGCGGGCTCGATCCCCAGCAGGGGACATGTAAGAGGCAGCCGATCAATGACTCTCTCATCATTGATGTCTCTCTCTCTCTCTCTCTCTCTCTCCTCTCTCTCCCTCTCTCTCTCTCTCTCTGAAATCAATAAAAATATATATTAAAGAAAACGAAAAAACAAATATGACTCAAAATTTCATTTTTTAAAAACATGTCAAGTTATCTTTCTTTGTTTCAAGGGTCCCTTCTTTGATTTAGATATCGATAGGTGATATCCATTTCATTCTTATGAAACAACAGTGACACCCAGAGGCCAAAATAACAGCAACCATATATCACAAGCAACCTCTTAACTATTCTTCAGCTTGATAATTGGCTTGGATCTAATTAAAATTACATGCAAAAATCCAACAAAATGAACAAATGCCAAACCCTGAGTTTAATGTATACTTTATATATGTGTGTATGTATATATATATAAATCTAGCTGTTATCGATAATATATTCTTTTATGAAATTTAAATTAACAATATTTTGACTTTACTTGTCCTAGGTTGCCCCTAAAATATATTTAACAATAATTAGAGAAAGACACAAGCAAAGCTGTAATCTAATAAAACAGTAACTTAAATATCTTACCTTCTATCAAAATCAGACAGTCATTTGAAAGTGGGAGAATACCATTATTTTTCACAAAATGAACAGCTACTTTTCGCTCTCCCTGATCTTTAGTGGTCCAGACTTTCGAATCATATAATACTGTATTGTGTAGTTTGGCATCGGGAGTTTTAGTTGCACTCTCTTGCAAAATTCGATCCAAATCACCTTCATGTAGAACTTCCTGCCTAAAATTACCAACAATGAAAAAACACAAAACAATGGCATAAGTTTGGAAATTCAAATTTTACAAATTATCCAATCAAAAAATTGTTTATATGCTGATGAGCCAGCTACTTGTTTTAAAACATGGAGATAATTCACTTTGCAGATTAAAGACTGTTACTCAATAGAAAGATATTTGTATTTCATGGCTAAGTAGCTGCCTATCAATAATTACACTAACCACTAGAAACTTCTTTGCTTTGTTTTGTGACATCCAAGTTACTAATTATAATTATTTCCAGCACCAATTTGCCCCCCTCTATCAGCTTCCCAGTGGGCTAAGAAAATGCAGCAGTCCCCTCCTTGTCTTCACTCCAGTTAAATATCCACTTACCACCCAAGTGACCTCATTGTCAAAGGGCATCTACTTTACAAACCAGTATTTGTTTTGATTCCTTTTCATCTAGAGTAATAATTTTAAAAAGTCATATGGTAAAGTACGATTGAGAAGAAATGGCATGATCTGGAGTCAAAAGGTCTGTCACAAACCAGCTGAATAACATTAGGTAACACCTCTTAACCTTTCTGAGGCAACTTTCTTAGTTGTTCAAAAAAATGATCATAGAGCCCAGCTGAGCGTGGCTCAGCGGTTGAGCGACAACCTGGGATCCAGGTAATTGGAGTTCGATTCCCGGTCAGGGCACATGCCCGGGTTGTGGGCTCGATCCCCAGTCAGGGGTGTGCAGGAGGCAGCTGATCAGTGACTCTCTCATTATTGATGTTTCTGTCTCCCTCCCTCCCTCTCTCTGAAATCAATAAAGATATATTTTTTTAAAAAAATGATCATAGAGGGTGGTTGAGTTATGTGATTTTACTGAATTTGGCAAGCTATAATTTGATAATACTTCAAGAATTACTTAAAATCTGTATTGATATTTTAATTCCAACTACCATTTCAGATTCAAATGGGCAGCCCAGCTGGGCACGGCTCAGTGGTTGAGCATCAACCTAGGATCCAGGAGATCTCAGTTCGATTCCTGGTCAGGGCACATGCCCTGGATGTGAGCTCGATTCCCAGTGAGGGGTGTGCAGGGAGGGGGCAGCCGATCAATGACTCTCTCATCATTGATGTTTCTATCTCTCTCTCCCGTTCTTTTCCTCTCTCTGGGATCAATAAAGACATATTTAAAAAAAAAAAAAAATTCAAATGGGTAGAAGACAAGTCCCCCCTTTCAGGTAAGAAGACTTTATGATCAAAAATCTCCACAAAGAGTATTATACTTAGATTTTAGAGGGGAATATACATATATTAGTGTACACAGAAGCATAGACACAAACAATATATAAACACAAATATAATGGAGATGTATATATAGTATTTATACATTACATATTTAGAGGCAAGATTGAGAGCTAATAAGTATACACTCATTCTAATGTCTTAATAATTTATATATTTATATAATAATTGATGTTTAAAATAAAAGCTTTGAGGTACTAAGAAATTCTCAATTCCTAACAAGAATTTAAGTTGTATTTACTATATTGTAGTGATTAAACAGGAGCGCTCTCTCTCTCTCTCTCTATTTCTCTCTCCCTCTCCCCCCCTTCCATTCTCTCTGAAAAGCAATGGGAAAAATATCCTCGGGTGAGGATTTAAAAAAAAAAGTTATTTTGGCTATTTGGGGTCTTTTGTGGTTCCACACAAATCTGATGATTCTTTATTTCTTTAAAAAATGTCATTGGGGTCCTGGCCGGTTTAGCTCAGTAGGAAGAATGTTGGCCCACAGACCAAAGGGTTGCGGCCCACAGGTTCGATTCCCAGTCAAGGGCAGGTTCAATCCCTGGGCCCCAGTCAGGGAGCCTTGGAACCAATCCATGTGTCTCTCTCACACTGTTTCTCTCTCCTTCTTTCCTGCCCTCCTCCCTCCCTTCCACTCTCTCTCTAAAACATCAATGGAAAAAATATCCTCAGGTGAGGATTAAAAAAAAAAGTCATTGGGATTTTGATGGGGATTACATTAAATCTGTATATTGCTTTGGGTAATATGGGCCTTTTAACTATGTTGATTCTTCCAAACCATGAATATGGAATATCTTTCTGATTCATTGTGTCTTTTTCAATCTCTTTTAATAATGCTTTGTAGCTTTCAGTTATAGGTCCTTCACATCCTTTGTTAAATTTAGTCCTAGGTATTTTATTCTTTTTGTTGCAACTGCAAAATGAATTGCCTTTTCCATTTATTTTTTTGAAATTTCATTGTTAGGGTACAGGAATGCAGTGGATTTCTGTACATTGATCTTGTATCCTATAACTTATATAATTTGTTTATTGTTTCTAATAGTTTTTTGGTGGAGTCTTTAGGGTTTTCTGAATAAAGAACCATGAAACCTATATAATTTTACTAACAATGTTATCCCAATAAATTTAAGTAAAAAGAACTATAGTTATTAATGGTTTATTTTTAAGAATACTTTTTGTGACAAATGAGTGTCTCCCCAAATATTTTCACAGTTTTTTATTTGTTTGCATTTGTCAGTTACTAAATTGAATTTCAGATCTAAAAATAGCGCCTACTTTTATTTATCATTACTAAGATATCAAAAGGATTTACTAAGAATTTTGTATTTTCTCTTAAAAACATTAGCATTCTATCAAAATACAATACAGAAAATCACATTTTACTTATTGCCAGGACTTCAACTGATGTATATGAAAACATATATACATAAATACTATGAAGTGAAACTTGTTTTATTAAGGAAAATACTTACATTGAATGACAGTTAGGACAATAAAGTTTAACAGACTGAAAGAGTCTTCTGGGCTTATAAGACCTCAATTTTGCTCGAATGCGATATCGTTGAGGAGCTTTTTGTTTCAAAATAGCACATAGTGGGGTGTTCTCCAAATATTGATGATCTGTAAGTACTATAAAGAATTTTTAGAATAAGGTAGAAAAATCTACAAGAATAAGTATATTCATGACATGAATACCCCTGAAAATACATACAATAAAATCCAATTAAGTTGTATTATTTGTCAACCTTGTTAACATTTTGCCACATCTGTCGTCTCATCTGTATTTATCTGTCTTTCTCCACACATATATAAACCTTACAGATACATAATTCATTTATGAATGAATTACATAATTAATTCTTTCATATATATATATATATATATATATATATATACACACACACACATACATGAATCCTTAGAGAATAATTTCCAGACATCACACCCCTTTATTCCTAAATATTTCAGTGTGTATTTCACAAAAACAAGACTTCATTGACATAATACAGTGCAATTTTCAACATCAGAACATTTAATATTGGTGTACTGTTATCACTGAATCAACAGACTTTATTCAAATTTCTCCCACTGTCCTCTCATAAATGCTCTTATTCAGCACTTTATTTCTGGGTTGAGGATCCAATCATGAACCATGCATTTCATTTACTTTTCCTGTCTCTTTGGAATCCTCTAATGAAGAATGGTTCCTCAGCTTTCTCTGTCTTTAATGACATCGGTGTACTTGAGAAGAGCTCATTTGGGTGTGCCTGGCTTTTCTCATGATGAGATATAAATTATGCATTTTTGACAGGAATATTACTATAGAAATTATATTGTGGCCTTCCTTCTCAGTGTATCACATCAAGAGGCACATGATATCAATGTTTTTATTCCTGGGGATGTTAACTTTGCTTAGTTGGCTAAGGTGGTGCTCAACAGATTTCTCCACTATAAACTTATTTCCTTCCCTTTTAATTGATAAAAAAGTAACTGGGAAGATATAAATATCCCAATCTTATTAAACATTAAAGATTCAGCTAGTTTAGGAAAAATTGGTGATTCACAATTAAATCAATTATTATTATTATGGTTGCAAAATGGCATGTTTTTTCCCCCTAACTTTATCATTCCTTTTACATTTATTAGTCGCCATTCTATTTTTCTTTTTCTTAAATTTATTTATTTTTTTAAATGTGTCTTTATTGATTTCAGAAAGAGGAAGGGAGAGAGAGAGAGAGAGAAACATCAATGATTAGAGAGCTGTCATTGATCAGCTGCCTCCTGCACACGTCTCACTGGGGATGGACCTCACACCCGGGCATGTGCACTGACCAGGAATTGAACCAACATCTCTGGGATCCTAGGTTGATGCTCAACAGCTTAGCCACGCTGGCCGGGTACCACTCTATTTTTAATAAGAGCTTTCCATTCAACTTCACTGATTTGTTTTTGTTCTTTTATTTACTATCCACATGAACTAGTGGATTCCTACTTTATTCAATAAATTCTATTCCATCACTAGTATTTTTTATTTTGATCCTCAATTTGTACAAGATTTCACACATTCCATCACCAACTGAGAATTTCTTTTCTCTCTGACATAAGGCATTCCAGACTCATAATATTCCTATCCTAATCCTGGAACCTGCTATTTCTCCAAGGAGTCCTAATTCCTTTCAAGGGGGAATACTATTTATAAACCAAAACCTGTGTACTAAGTATGCTCACTGCAACTGGGTGCCATTGTTCCGATGGCCTTTTGTTGCCAGAGCTAGGGCATATATGCATACATGTTCATACCTACACTTACACACATGGCCTGTATATGTATGTGAGTGAACACATATATACAAATACACATCTATAAAACATGAATACATACTGACACCTCCAATTTTAATACAATACCACAAGCTTCTAGCCTTCCCCCATTTCATAGTTATATGTCCTTTCTCCAATGAGAGACTTATATTTTATAATAGTATATTATAGAACATTAAGAGACTTGTGCTTACAATTTTTTTTCTTGCCCCACTGGTGTGGCTCAGCAGTTGAGCACTGACCCATGAACCAGTAGGTCATGGTTCAGTTCCTGGTCAGGGCACATGCCCAGGCTGCTGGCTCAATCCCCAATAGGGGGCATGCAGGAGGCAGCTGACTGAAAAACTCTCTCTTATCAATGATGTTTCTATTCCTCTCTCTGAAATCAATAAAAACATATTTAAAAAATTTTTTTCCCCTCAAATTTCTTTCATCTTAGCTGAATTAACAGAAGGATGGCATGTGATAGATTTACTATCATTGTTAACATTAAGTTAAAGTTTGGGGGCATATTGTAAGGAGCTGTTTCATGAACACTGCTAAATGCATAATGTGAATTGATTAAAATTAGTGTCATATTAAGATATTTTACATTCTCAAACTAAAAATAAGCCCCAACTGCACTGTTAAATAGTATATGTTTTATAAACCTTAAAGATACATCACTTTAAGTACATATTTGATGTAAAAACATATATCTTTCTGGGTTCCATTTTATGCTAGTTAGGATGAGGTAAAGGAATAAAAGATAAATATAGATATATGTTTGCCATCATGGATATCTGCTCTTAATATATGATAGAAATGAATGTGTTGATATGTATCAGGACAGGCTTCATTATGCTCACTATTATGCCCATATTTAAAACATGAAACATGGTCTTACTTGTAGCTGACAGTTGCTGACATCTTTCTACCTCATACAGTGATACTGATCCAGAGCCTATGGAAGGAGAAGGAAAGGGGAATTACACAGTTTTAAAATCCATTAAAAATTCAATGAGGCATTAGAAAATATAAAACATTGCCGAGGAACTGAAAAAAATCTGAACGAATAGTAAAATATGCCATGTTAAGGGATGGGAAGGTTCAATATTGTTAAGATATAGATTATCTCTGAAATAATCTGTATATTCAAGACAATCCTAATCAAAATTGCAGAAGGTTAACTATAGAAAGAGGCAAGCAGATTCTATCACTTAGGTGGAAATGCAAGAATCTAGAGTACATCTTGACAAAGGACAAAACTGGAAGAATTACATATACTCCATGACTTAAAGACTTATTAAAGCAAGACAATATGGTACTGACATAAAGACGGACCAAATTAAAAACAAAATTAAAAAGAAAGCCCAGAAATAAACCCACATTTACATGATCATTCTATTTTTGATAAAGGCAGCAAAGCAATCCAAAGAGAAAGCAAAACTTTTCAACAACTGGAAATTAGTATGAAGGGAAAAAATGCTTACTTCATCATATTAGTAGGAACTGAACAGAAAGCCCAGAAATAAATCTACATATACACCCATTTGATTTTTGACAAAGACACCAAAGCCATCTTACAGAAAAAGAAAAGAAATAGGTGCTAAAACAACTGTAAATTCATATTTAAAAAAAAAGTCTACCTCATACAATACTCCTAGCATCAAAAAGGAATAACCTATTGATATATGTGAAATATGGATGAATATAAAAAAACATATATATGTACAAGAGTACATATTAATCCATTTATTTGAAGTTCTAGAAAAGGTGCAGTTAATCTATGGTGGAAAACAATCAGAACTTCTGGGGTAGGGACGGTGATGAGGGCTGACTGAGAAGGAGCCCGGGGGAGCTTTCTGTGACAAGGGCAATGTACTAGATTTAAGAGACTTAGGTTACACAGATTTGTGTATTAGTCAAAACTCATAAAATGGTACACTTAAGTTGTCCATTTCATTGCATATAATTTTACCTCAAAAAAAAAAAAAATTCCTAAACAAATACTGAACTCTAGTTAATGATGTTTATTCTGAAATGTTTAGGAGGTATACTTATGTCTGCAACTCACTTGAATCAAAAAATAACATGGATTGATAGACTAAGAGATAAATTACAGAACAATAGCTGATGCGTATATGAGTATTCACTGTACAATTATTTCAACTTTTCTGTATGCTTGAAAATTTTTATTATTTTGGAAAAATACAATGTGAAGGAAATAAAAGGAGAGGTGGATAAAGTAATAAACTTTCTAAATTTAATAGGATGGTTTGATGAACACCATAACATAGAGCTTTACTTTAACAAGAAAGCAAAAGCAGTAAACAGAGCAATATGTTTTAATTTTTTTGAAGTTTTAATGTTGTTGTTGTTAATCTCACCGGAGGATATTTTTCCCATTGATTTTTAGGGAAAGTGGAAGGGAGTGGGGAGGAGAGAGAGAGAAACACCCATGTGAGAGATGCACACTGATTGGCTGCCTCCTGCACGTGCCCGGACTGGGGAAGGGATCAAACCTGTGGCCCGGGTACGTGCCCTTGATTGGGAAGCAAACCTGTAACCCTTGTGCACAGGCCGATGCTCTAACCACTGACCCACACTGGCCAGGGCAATAAGTTTTAATTTTAATAACGCTTTCTAAAATGAAGAACTTAAGACTTTAAAAGGTACCTATATTTTGTATCTTATATTCTATTATATAAAACAGCATATTCAGTTTTTACAATTTATGGGTCATCATATACAAACACGCATTACTTGTCCCTCTTCCTCACCATAACTAATAATTGCAGGAGAGTCCATGGCAAGAGAACTTGAATGGACGTGTGACGCTGGCAAAGTATAATTTCAATGAATGTGATTACTTAATATCTGTCATTCTGCATGAAGTAAAAACAATGACAAAAACCTTAAAAGTAGTCAAATACTGAGAAAATATGTGTAAAATATATACATGGTCTCCCATAAACTGATAAACAAAAATGATAAAGAATCCAACAGGAAATCAGATAATGGGTAAGAGATGACAATTCAAAGAGGGAGTAAAATGGGCCAATAAATATATGATAAAATTTTTAAGTTTCTGGATCCAAGATGGCTGTGGAGTATGTGAAAGCAACACATACCTCCTCCTGATGCCAAACCAGGTTTACAGCTAAAATTTTGAGCAATAAGCCTAAATAAACAACTGAAGGACACCTGAACAGGCGTATTATATCCAAGGACTGAGGAAATAAGCTACAGAGACTGGTAAGAAGGGTAGAGACTCGGAGACGGTTGGTCTCTGCACACAGGTGCAGCGACTGAGAAGCTGGAAGAAAATTGTGGCTGCCAAAGTTCCCCCTGAGGAAAGTGGGGTCTCATTACTATACTGGAACCCCCAAACCAGAACACCAAATACACAGCATTTGGCAGCAAAAATACGTGGGGATTTCGTCCACTGGAAAGAGGAGTGAGCCTGCTAGAATCCCAGGAGCTCTCCTTAAGGGCCAACACACAGGGGCTCCACCTTGGGCACTCACCCAGGGCTCTGGAAAAGGAGAGGAGACTCAGGGCATATGGAAGTCATAAAGAGAAGATCTGGGTGGCATAGATCCAGAGATCTGGAAGGCTGGCTACTGAGGTCCTGATCTTGAATCAACATCCCACACCACCCTCAGGCACCATCTTCCAGAGTCCAGCATTTCTATTCTTACAGCACCAGCTGGAGAAAGTGCACTAACCTTGTCCTCCAAATACTGGTGATACCACCCTGCCATGCTTCACTCAAGCAGAAAGAACTGTTGGCTGCACCCAATAGGGACCTGAGTTACGCTCTTCTTCTGGAGAAACTATAGACAGACTCTCAGACCATTACCGAACTGAGTGGCTCTGGAACAAGGGCCAATCTTTCTCCCTCCCATGAGTTAGGCAGGTGCCACCCCCAAGAGAAGACTCTCTGGTCAGGGTCTCAGGCAGTGGACAGCTGTGGAGCTGGGCATTAACACCCCTCCTAGGGCCCTGCGCCACTCCCAAAAGAGTGATGCCTTGATTTGCATTCCCAACTTCTACTGACACTAGTTTGCCAAGCACAGTTCTGCCAGGGAAGGAAGCACAATTCAGAACTGATCTGGCTCGACCCCTTCAGAGCCTCCAGTTGGGGTCTCCGCAGCATGCTGCTAAGCTAGGAGAAGGCAAGCAGGTTGCTTACCTCACACAGCACAGTTGGTACCACCCACAAAAAAGAAGCCTTTTTCAATCTGTATGTCCAAGTCCCAGTGACCCCATCCTGTCCTGCTGAGCTTGTTCCAGCAGTGAGGATGGCTACACCCAACCTGAACCTGCAATGGGAAAGCTAAAGTTGGAGACTCTGGCAGAGACTGAACGGTGTGGCTCTGGAGTAGGACCACATTCTCCCCATTGAGTGCCAGAACACACTGCCCCAAACTAGGGGAACCATTAGCCCTGTGACCTAGTCACCCCAACCTACCCAGGTTGAGCATTGTAAGGGATCAGTAGGGTGTGGTCAGCTTGGGCTCTCTCTACAGCCTTTCTGCGTAAGACTTTGGAGGAAGACTAGGCAACCTCAAGGGGAAGCAGAGTAACAACAGGTGGATGCAGACCTCAGGGAGACTTGGCCTTTTATTGATTTGACCCCAGCTCAAAACTCCAGGAAGCTGAACTGTCTACACAGATTGGCCCTCCCTGGCACACCCAGGTCCAGTAGATGCATACGCAAACAGTAAACAGCATGGTAGCTCCAGAAAGGTAGGCCAAAACCGGTTACACAAAACATCTGACAGAGACCTGTACCTGAACACCACCCAAGTGGACCTAGAACCAACACAACCAGTGATGGGCTTCAGATCACACCAGAACTTGACCCATCCAGGCCAACAAGCAACAATCCAAAGGAAGATTCTAGCAGGCACCAGACCCTGCTGGGAACAACTCCACCTTGGAGGGCAGACCCTACAGAGTGTCATACACACAGTAATTGAGGTTCACCCTGATAGCTACCCAGCCTGAAGAGTTAATTCCACCCATGAAAGGGGCAGCAGCATTCACCAAGACATAATCAAAACAGGGGGTGCACATAACCCACAAGGGATATTCCTGGAGCACTGAGCACAGGCGATCTGGAATATTGTGCCACTGAGCCCAATAACACACCTTAAGACTGCACCTGCACAGCATGCTGTGCCCAGGACTGAGCCTCAGTGAGCCAGCCATGAACAAGCCAATAGCAAACAAGACCCAATTACAACAAGAGGACCCAAAAAACCCACACAAGAGACATTACTAGAGCACCCAGCTCAGGAGATCAAGTAGACCGCACCGCTGGGTCCCACAGGACACCTACTACAGAAGGCCACCCCACCAAGACTGGAAATCATAGCAGTTCTATCTAATACACAGAAACAAACACCAAAAGATAGCCAAAATGGGGAGAAAAAGAAACAACCCCAAAAGAAAGAAAAGGAGAATCTCTAGGAAAAGAGCTAAATGAAATGGAGGCAAGCAATTTATTAGAAACAGAACTCAAAGTAATGGTTATAAGGATGCTCAACAGCATGAAAAAAGACATAGAAACTATGAAAAATAATCAGGAAGAAATGAAGAATACCATAGCTGACATAAAGAATACACTGAAAGGAATAAACAGTAGGTTTGATGAAGCACGGGATCAAATCAGTGATTCAGAAGACAAGGTAGAAAAAAACCACCCAATCAGAGCAGCAAAAAGAAAAGAGAATTAAAAAAAAAGGACACTTTAAGGGAACTTTGGGAAAACATGAAATGTAACAAAATGCACATCACAGGGGAAACAGCAGAAGAAGAAAGTGAGCAAGGGATAGAGAGCCTGCTTGAAAAAATAATGACTAAAAACTTTCCTAACCTGAAGGAAAGTCATGCAAGTTCAAGAAGCACAGAGTCTCAATCAAGATGAACCCAAAGATACACACATCATAATTA